CATATGAAAGTATAAGGACCTGATAAAAAAAAAAAACTATAAGGACCTGATTCAAAATTAGTTGAAACTATAAGGAGCTGTAGATTAATTATCCCAAACAAAATAATAGATACAATATGTTTGAAATCCCAACGAACATTGGCAAAAAAAAAGAGAAAAGGGTGGACTAGAGTATTTTGAAGCCTAAGGCATAAGCCTAGAATACTTTGTTCGTTGTTAAGTATGGGGAAAAAGAGAAAGGTGGATTAGAATATTTTGAAGCCTAAGGCACCGTTGGCCAAGGAAAAAAGATACAAATCATTGGAAGATTGATTATAATAATAAAAAAAAAAGTCTCTTACAGCATCACAAATATAAAAAATAAAAAATTAGTTTATCGTAATGTAAGGAATAAATTTTAAATAAGAGAAGTGAACACATGACACATGAGACATGACAGTTGGATATAGGAACGCACATTATTAGCCTCTAACTTCATTTTTCAAACAAAAACTTAGAGTAAAAATAAAATGAGCCGCTTATAGTGGGTGGGCTCAGCATTTGGGAATAAAGTCAGGGAACAACAGAATATTCACTATTTTTGCGATAATCTCTCAGGCAACCGGCAGTGTTCACTTTAAACATTAAAAAGTCATGAAGGCCTATATTTACAGACAACACTACCAAAATAATAATAGTAAAATTAAGAGTTAATATTATTATTGGTGCTTACAATTTGATTAAATTTTAATTTTGGTCTCCCTAGTTTTAAACTGTTAGTTTTCATCCCTATAATCTTATAAGAATTAAAGCACTCCTCCGGTCCTTAATATAAAACCTAATTATTGAGTTGATTTTGGTCCTAAATATAAGACCTATTTATCATATTTATCAATTTTTTCTAAATTATCCTTACGGATGCTCCCTAAACCATAATCAAGTAGGAGAGAAAGAGGAGATATTAAGAAAGATGATTGTAGTATTTTAGAAAAAAACGTGTTACATTTCGTATAATTAACTAACTTATCTAACTTTTTTAATTTAATCAAATAGTTAAATAGGTCTTATATTAAGAGCCGGAGGAGTACTAGTTTAGGTATAGAGATTGAAAGTCAAAATTATTAAAAGTATAAAGACTATTCATTAAACTTGGACCAAATATTTATGAAATTGAAGGGACTGAATCGAAATATGAGAACTAAAAATAGTATTAACCTAAAATTAAATTATATCCTCTCCTAGTCCTTAAAAATAAATAATAAATACACATAAATTTTTAACTTTATATGGATAAATCCCATCTATCAATTACATAACTCCTTAAATTGTACTTTCGTGTGTGTATATATTTTTCTTAAATTTTGAGTTATATGCATATAAGTCCTTAAACTTTAATATATGTATAAATAAGCAATGAATAAAACTAATAATGTGAAAGTTATCTGCATTAACGTGAGAGGTTTTAAAATTTTATTATCAAATTTCAAAGTGTAAAGTAATCAATTGTCTGCACGTAACATCTTTTTTTATTTTTTGTTTATAAACAGTTACGTCATCAGCCGCTCGGTTGAATCGTGTCGGGTATGACGTCAGCAAGTTGAGGCGTTTCAGTTTCGCTTCGCTTTTGTTTCGGCGGATTAGTCCAACCAAAGCAGCACTTCGCTTGAAATTCTCTTTTAAAGTTAGAAACTTAGAATGCTAGAAAAAATATTTTAAAATTTTAAAATCAGTCCTATTTATTACATTTTAATAATAAGTGGTGACATTTAAAAAGTAAATAATAACATATTTTTGCAGTAATTTTTACTTTAAAATTTTAGATATATTTTTTTTTGAAATTTTTTCTTCTTTATTTAACTTCCAATACGAAAATTAAATCAGCCTAATTTAAGCAAGCATACCTATTTTTGGGGCCATTACGTTTTTGTTCTCCACATAAATTCCAACAATTACATATATTTTATACATTGGGCATTGAAGATTGGCCAACAGTTAAGGGCATATCCGGGTTGAGTTTGACAAGTCTCATATTTCTTATTTTTAGTTTTTGACTTTTTGTCCTTTTCTCATTTGAAGCTTCTAAAACTGATTTTTTAATATATTACTCATAATAAAAGTGTTTTCAAATATAAATCACATGGGTTAATACTACATTTAATCCTTAAAATTTGAAACAAGTGACTTTAGTTATCAAAATTTGATTTTATTCTAATCTGCCTGCTGGTTCTTAGAATCTTAGTTCTTGAAACAATGACCAAAATGAAAATAAAATCAAATATCAGGAATCAAAATCATTAGTTTCAGATTTTAAGAATTAAAGCCAAGATCAGGTTAAATTTTAAGGAGCAAAACTATTGATTTCAAATTTTCTTAAAATCAAAATAAAAATAAAATAAAATATTAAAAATTGAAAATGATATATCTTCTTTACTTGCCACTATCCTTGATTAAAAAAATAATTTGGGCAGGTTGCATGGTCCTCGCATGTTGTCAAAAAGGATAAACAACCCTTTCCGATTGAGTAGCTTCTGGAGCATGATTGAAGGGCGCGCGCGATCAGATTAACATTTTAATATTCAACATCCTCTCCCCCTCATAGAGGAACGCGTGCGCCCACAACTTGGCTGCACTTGCGCGTACACAAGCAGAGTGGCCTAATCACTTCCACTAATTAATCTTAATTTATAAGAAAACAGCTTACAATTAACTGTAACTTGCTACTAGTTGAAGATAGTGATCCACTTTTTAACAATCACACATACATACAAGTAATCAAGTTGTATATAGTAAATCACAGTTCACATTCATTCATATATTTATATTTATAGTATGTCTTCTGTGAAATATAATTAACTAATCACATGATTTAACAGGACTACTCAAAATAAATCATGCTATTTGCTAACAAAATTGACCTAGCTAACTCATAGAGTTGTGTATTTATAGGCCCCTATTAATATGAAAGCTTTGTAGGCAGACAATTCGTAAACATTTTTATAAGTGTTTTTTGAATTTAAAGGTGTATCATAATCCCTGTAAAAAAAATTTTTTTAAAAAAAATTCTTGCTATTTTATTTATTGATATAATTAGATACCACCATCTTCATAAAAAGGCGGGCAGATCCTCCCGTTTGCGGAGGGCCCTTTTATGATGACCTTTCCTTGTTTACTTTTTGTTTCAAAAATAACAAGTCCCTCAGTACAAATCATGTGGTCATAAAATCTTAGTCATTTTTATTTATTTTCATATATCTTTTATTTATTTTATTTTCATATATCTTTTATTTATATTGCCATATAATTGCGTAATTGCATAATGGTTAGTACATACTACCTCCGGTCCTTAATATAAGATCTTGTTTTACTTTTATTTTGATTCTAAATATAAGACTTCAATCCACTTTTTCTCTCATATTTATACATTTTTTTCCTAAATAATCCTTCTAACATTGGTAGTTCTAGCCAATATACTTGATTAGTAAGGATATTTTAGGAAAGAAAACACTTATTTGTTATAAATAACTAACTTAATTTCTTTCCTTAATCTCCTCAAATTAATCAACTAACTCTTAATATTAGGACTGAAAGTAGTAATTTTTATAGAAAAACTATTGACTTATGAATAATATTACTTTTACTTTTTAAATATTTACTTGAACAACAATGGTAATTTACCACGAAATTGGACATCATGCTGGCTGGAATCCTATAAGTCAAAACTCATCTGCAAGTGCAATACGCAAATCAACGATTTAAGGTACATAGGAGCTAATATTTTAATTATACTATTGTTTAAACTTTTTGTAATAAAAGAACATTTTGGTTATATTAACGTGTGACTCCAAAAACTACTTTTTTTATTTATTAAACCCAAAGAATATGGTTCTGTTAATTGAGGCTTAATCGATGGATATTAATCATCTGATTGTGATCTAACAATATTAACTTATTTGTTTTTAAAAATAAACAAAAATATTTACCTCGATTTTTCTGCCACCTCTACCTCAAAATGATTAAGGGGGTGTTTGGCAAAACCAAAACCACGGTTTCAGAATCACTTTTCCGCAAAGCGAGGTAACCTCCTCCACATATTTACTTCGTAATCCGTAAAAGCACTTCTGAAACCATGGTTTGGTTTCTATCCAAACACCCCCTAAATCATGATTTAATAGTCAATATTTAATTTTAAGATATATATAGAGGGAGAGACAAACAAAATTAAAAGGCAAAAACAAAAAAAACCGCGGCATGGCCGCAGTACAGGCCACGGACGACGTTTTGCACACGGAGACGTCGCCCGTCGGTACCGACTTCATCCGTGGGGACTGGGGACCCTCCTTCTCTCGGCATCTGTATTTAGCCCACATTTCTTTTCCTTTGTTTTGTTTTTTAAAGTAATCACTGTATTCGATATGTTGATGTTAATAATAATAAAGCTAATAATAATATATAATTTTTTCGATGAACAATAATAATATATAATTTAATTTATAGTAATCCATATCTATATCCATACTATTTATAAACTCTCAACAATTCAACTTAATTTAATTATTATAAAAATATACATTACTCAATTTTATCCCAAAATATTTTCATAATTTAATAAGAAATAGTAAATAAAACATTGTATTTTTTAATAACTTCATTAACAAAAAAAAAGGATTGTCAAAGTGTGTTTAGGAGGAGGAGTTCCAAAAGTTCTGTTGAGCAACCAATTTTTGCCAAACTATGTTGATTTTTTTTTTTATGAAACCATCAAAGTCATGCTAACTTTTGAATAAAAAATGCATTCAAATATATAAATATCAGTTTTGACTAACTCAAAATTAAACATGTGCTTGATTTTCTGCACGTCGTTGCAATTTTTGGAAAACCTTATTTTGGTAGTAGTATTTTATTAAAAAAAATTAAAATATAAAAAGTAATACCCAAAAAAAAAAAAAAAAGTAGTTGCCGGTTGCCCGGTTATAAATAAGAGGCCTCTGGAACAGACCACTCACAGCACAAGAACAGTAGCCTAAAGAGATGGTTGCGAAAAAGAGAAACGTTCATGTTGTGGTTGTTCCCTACCCAGGGCAAGGCCACATTAATCCTCTCCTTCAATTCGCCAAGAGGTTAGCCTCTAAGGGTGTCAAAGCCACCGTCGCCACCACCAAATACACCGTCAACTCCATCGTCGCTCCCAACGTCACCGTCGAGCCCATCTCTGACGGCTTCGACGAGGCCGGCTTCGCTCAAGCCAAGAACGTCGACTTGTTCCTCAACTCCTTCAGGAGCAATGGCTCCAAGACGCTTTCTCGGCTCATCGAGAAGTTCGAGCATTCCGATTTCCCCGTCACCTGCGTCGTCTACGACTCCTTCCTGCCGTGGGCTCTTGAAGTTGCCAAACGACATGGAGCATTTGGGGCCGCCTTCTTCACTAATTCAGCTGCCGTTTGCAGTATATTCTGTCGTATACACCATGGGTCCCTTCGCCTGCCGGTGAAGATGGAGGACCTACCCCTGCTCATTCCGGGTCTTCCTCCATTGAACTGTTCGGATCTTCCGAGCTTCATTAGGTTGCCTGAGAGCTACCCGGCTTACCTGGCTATGAAGTTGAGTCAGTTCTCAAACGTGGAGAAAGCTGATTGGATGTTCGCAAACACATTTCAAGCACTGGAAAGCGAGGTACGTATAGATCAATCTCACTGTAATTTCTCTGTAAATTACATTTACTTATATTTTAAAGCTTTTTTCCCCCTTGTTTATGTCAACAAAGCTGACACGATCTTCTGTTTGTGCCTGAAAAGGTAGTGAAAGAACTGTATGAGATGTTTCCGGCGAAGTTGATAGGCCCAGTGGTGCCTTCTGCTTACTTAGATGGCAGAATCTCCGGCGACAAAGGGTACGGAGCGAATCTGTGGAAACCACTAAGTGAGGAATGCATGAAATGGCTAGAATCAAAGCCAAGTCGCTCCGTCGTTTACATTTCGTTCGGAAGCATGGTGTCGTTAACGGCAGAGCAAACTCAAGAACTAGCACAAGGGTTGGAAGAAAGCGGCAAGAAGTTCCTCTGGGTCCTAAGAGAATCCGAACACTCCAAACTTCCCAAAGGGTTCGCAGATTCAGTGAAAGACAAGGGTCTCATAACCACATGGTGCAACCAGCTTGAACTTCTGGCCCATGAAGCTGTGGGATGTTTCGTGACCCATTGTGGGTGGAACTCCACGCTGGAAGGTCTGAGCCTTGGAGTGCCCATGGTGGGGGTCCCACAGTGGGCGGACCAGTTGACGGATGCTAAATTTGTGGAGGATGTGTGGAAGGTGGGTGTGAGAGCTAAGGAAGAGGAAGGAGGGGTTGTAAGGAAACAAGAGATTATAAAGTGTGTGAAGACAGTGATGGAAGGTGAAACAAGTGAAGAGATCAGAAAGAATGCAGCAAAATGGAAGGATTTGGCTAGGGAAGCAGTGGGAGAAGGAGGAAGTTCTGATAAGAACATTGATGAGTTTGTGAAATATTTGAAAATGAGTTTATTCTGTGATCGTTAATTAAGTAGTGATTTTCTTTCTCCCTTTTGTTTATTGTGGATTTGTGGTGTTCTGCAAGTCCGCGTAATGAAAGGTGTCATATATGTGTAATAGATTGATCTGTTACAGTTGTGTGGATGAAAATCTGTTACCGGCACAGAGATATTCAGTGATTGAACGGTGTGATTGGACGTGGCGAGGTTTCTTGAAGCTAGACATTATTGTTCAACGCTGTTAGGTGTTATCCAGGTCGGACTTGTTGGGAGTAGCTGATGAGTGGGGCCTGACTTCTCATTTTGAGTTTTGAGCACGGGTGTTTGGATGTCTTTAAAAGTGCTTCTCAGAAACCGTAAAATCACTTTTAAAATTATGATTTGGTTTCTATCCAAACACTTCCTACACCCATGCTCCGATAAAGCATAAGAATTGGAAATCTAATTATTTAGTTTTTTGCCCTTTTGAGTCAAAATTGTCAAAATGCTCACAAGATAGGGTGAGACCCAAGAATATTGATCTGAGTGTTTGAATGAAGTCAAGAACAAATGAGGAGAATGTTTGGGTAATTTCTTAAAAGCAATTTAATTACTAAAAAATGATACTAGTTCTATTTCTAATTATAAGAACTAGTTAACTAATTTGAAAAGATTAAAAAAATAAGTTAAGTTAGTAAAATATCTTTACTAATTAAGTATTGACTAAAATTACAATTATTAGAAGGATTATCTTAAAAAAATTGTAAAAATATGAGAGATAGAGTGAATTTGGGTCTTATATTAAGAATCAAAATAAAAGTCAAATGAGGTCTTATATTAAGGACTGGATATAGTATAACAAGTGAATGTAATGGGGAAATACAATGGACCAGGACATATTGACTACTTGAAAGATTTTTTTTAAGTAATTAAATTGACGGGTTTTTTTGTTATAAAAAGTTTAAGTGAGTTGGGTTTCGAGACTCACCAGAATTAGAATATGTCTCTAGATTTAGAAAAGTGCTTATAGAGGTATTTACAGATTACCTATCAATAAGGCTTTCACATCAACAGTAGGATTCAAACTCAGAAGGTTATGAGCCGACTCTTTACCAACTAGATCAATTCTTGTTGGTAATTAAATTGACGTTTTAATAATAAAATTATTTCCCTTGGACATGACGAGTCAGGACCTCAGTCATCGTTCTCTGATTAATCACTAAGGTGTGTGAATCATGTGATATGTGAATATGTATGAAGATATTGTATAAAATTATATGAAAGAGTGTTATTTATTTGGATCGACGAATAAAATAAATAAAAATGGCATCGTGCGTGTGTATATGTATCCACATAATTTGAGGAATATAATTAATTTCTGCGGCCTTTTTTTTTTGGGAAAACTAATTTAGAGGTCCTTATAGTTTTTATCAATTTTGAATCAGGTCCCTAAGCTTTTTTTTCTTTTTAGTGAGTCCTTTAATTTTCTGCTGTTAGTTCCGTTAGTCCCTGTGGTTAGAGTAAAACAAACACTGTTAAAATCTCTGTCAGTAAGCAAAGCTGGACATCTGAAACACCTTGCCCATCCCTCCCTTCCGCCATAACTCAAGCTCTGAGACCACGCTTCCCCCCCTCATTCCTCAATATTTTCTCTTTCACTACTATCTTCCCGACCTCACGGCCATTCCTTCCCACCTTTTCAGCCATCAGACAACTATACAGAGTAATATTTTTCACAGGTCAGCGATTGGAATTGTGCTGATTGCTGTTAAAATTAAATGCCCCCAAAGCATCGCATTCCTAGCTGTACCATCAACCTCTAAGTTAAGTTTCAAACAAAAATTTGATAAAATGCAAAGGTTCAATATGCCAAAAAATTTTAAAATTATTTGCAGCCAAGTGTACAGAACTTTTCGTGAAGAGTTGAAGTTGAACTCATCATTCATAAGAAAGAAAAAAAAAGAAGACAAACCTTTTGATAACAACATGATTTTTTTTCCTTTGTTTTTTTAAGATAGTTTGAAGTGAAAAACGACTTGAGGGATTCCTGTACGGGATAATGTTTTTTCCTGGCGAGCCAAAGGGTATCACTTCTTAGTGGAAAGCATTTTTCTCTCTATCGAATGAAACTCTGGTCTGTCACTAAAAAAGCAAGAAACTTCCCAGTCATTCTTCCTCTGTTTCCAAGCTTCACTTTAACAGGGAAATCTCCATCCATTGTGCTTGCTCCGTTTGTGGCGATCCAAGGCGAGACGATAAAGCCTCATTTTTTAACATAAAAAATATATATTATAAGAAGAGGTGGAGGAGCTTGGTTTCAAAGCTTGGGATATGATGGTAGAGACAGACGGACATGATTTTTCAAAGCGAGAAGATGTTTCAAAGCTGTGCTCACTAACAGAGATTTTAACGGTGTTTGTTATAATCTAACAGTAGGGACTAACGGATTTAATGACAGAAAATTAAAAGATTCAATAAAAAGAAAAAAAAACTCAGGGATTTGATTCAAAGTTGATAAAAATTATAAGGACCTCCAAATTAGTTTTCCCTTTTTTTTTCCACAAAGGAACGCATCTCATCATCACATGGCGTGTTATTTTGACTATTAAGCGGCACTGCGTGTAAAGTGTGGGCATGTCAATAAAAATAAAAACTTTGACTTTGGAGTGTTTGGTTTTTTAAAAAAAACTTAAAATTTTTTTTTTATATAAGTCGACCTAAAACTTTTACATAAAATTATTTCCAAAAAGGCTGATTCACTGTTCTCCTTGTTTACTTCTGCGTTCTGACTATCGTACTTCTGACGGACATAAAATTTGGAAAAAAGAAAAGTTTAAAGAACGTCGTTGTCGAGTCGGAAAAAAAAACATTGCGGCCCTTATTATAGGTGACTTTGCATTTTTAGGAATATTCAATGCTTTTTTTCCCTCTGAAAATGCCCTCATTTCATTTTCTAATACGTAGTAAAATGGAGAATGTCACATATACCTATCATCTTTTTTAAAATATTTTTATTAATTGTACATATTAAAAAATAGTTTCAATACAAACAATTTAAGTAGATATTTTAGATAGCTCACTTGAATAGTTTTTTAAATCCATTTAAATAGTTTAAGTAGATCTTATATTAATAATAAAATAAAATAATTAGTTTTAAAATTATGATAAAATAATTAAAAGGGATAATATTTAATTAGAGTAAGAGCTAGTATTTTCACTTTAAGAACTAATTTTTTTGTTAATTACATATATCGTTTGATTAAATGTCTGTTTCAAATATTATCAGTACTAAATATAAATACCTCCCTCGATAAAAATTCAAACATGAACTCTTCATGTTGCAGTGACACAGTTTTTTGGAGTTACGATTGAAATCTTTAAAAGTATTTATTCACACAATTCACTCAGTTCTTTATAGAAGTTTGAAAAACTGCTTTTGAATAATTCTAAGAAAAATTGGTAAAAAAAATTTCTGGTTAAAAATTTAATTAACTAAAAAAACCTGAACTTGAGCAAGTACAACTATGATCCATGAGTGTAACACATCTTCTGTTGTGTGCAACATGTCATTAATGATGTGCAACAATCATTAATATGAAAGTCATTTGCATACAGCGGAAGATATATTGTACTCAAGGCATATATTTGCACGTATTCAAATTTAAATCTTTTTAGCCAATTAAATTTTTAAACAGGGATTTTTTTACCAATTTTCTTATGATCCTATCACTCTAAACAAGCTCGTATAATGACAATATGATACATTAGTTCATAAAAAAAATGAAAATAAGCATAATAATGACGTTATGGACTTGGTCTTCACTTGGGTCATATCTTGTGTCACCCAGTCGAGGTGTTCCATTTGATGTTTTCAGTTTTAAGTTTAATTTTGACAAATTGACAGGTGATATATCTTGACCTCCTTCCTAGTAATGAAATTGATCTTTGTGAGAATCCACCTTATTCATATAGTTGACCATTATATACAATATTTTTCTTGCATGCCTGCACTCAAATTCCAATAAGCAAATCAATCTTAAATTTGGTTTTTGAAATAGCGTTCGTGTTCAAATATATATTGGATTCATGCCACACATAATCTCAATACCCCGTAACGTAATTAACCTTACCTGTTTTGTTTCCTTCGTTAATGTGCATTCACTATGATTTTTAGGACTTTGACAGGAGGAATAAAATTTTCAATGAATAATAATATTGATGTCGAATGTCTTAATAATCATATAATAATAAAAGAGTTCAAAATTAAACAATAAACTACTGGTTGAACTACTGGTTGAGATGGTAAGCGGTTTCATCATCATAAGAGGGAAAACACAAATTCAAATCTTAATAGACATATTTGTTAAAAGCACTCTAGCTTTAATGCTCTACGGCTGATAGAAATTAATCCTAAGTTTAAAATAATTTGAGGATACTCTGACTTATTCAAAAAAGGAAAGAAGGAAGGAAGGAAGAGTTCAGAATTATATTTTCATTCATAGAGCTCATCACATGATTATATTTCGGACACCAAGTTTATCGACATTAGTAACACCTATTTGCATTTTAAAAATCGATAATTATTCTATTATCAATTATGCATTTTTTAAAAAAAGGAGCAAAGCAATTCTATTAATTAGTTCAATTGATAAGAACATGGCACGCGAGAAAAGAAATGCAGACACTTTCTTTTATTAAGTGCAAAATCATTATAATTATTATCATAACCACACAAAAAAAAAAAACTTTCAACGTTGGTTATGGAAGACTTTTAACAAAGGTTTTAAAAAGGGACATATAAAATCAAGTGATCATATTTAAATACACATGGGTTTGTATCATTAAAATTTAAACCAAATAATTTAGAGCTGAGGAAAACACAATCGAGAAAAGGCCAATCAAGGGAAATGAAATCGGGAGCTGTGTTGTTTCGGTAGTGTTTGGAACATTATCGAGGTTTTGAACTGTTTGAAAAGGAGTTCTGATAAGAATGGAATCTGCAGTTATTAACAAAATTAAGCAATAATTTTTCCCTCCTGTGTGCTCCTCAGCAATTCCATTTACGAAAGGTTGATATCTGCGCAGTAATAAAATAATAATAATTGCTGGTAAAAAAAAAAAAATTCTCCTCCTTTAAATTTCTGTGGATGAAATGCTTTTTTTGTACGGACCTTTGCCTACATGGTTATGTGATTAGACGGGGCAAAAGTTCATTGTCAGGTGTAGGCTCAAGTTGGAGCCAGCTCAGTTTTTCCCCAAGTATATACTCCTCCGTACGCATTTTCACTTTTTAAACGTATTTAAAAAACTCTTGAACAGTATTAATTTTTTAAAAAAATATAACAACTTTTCATTTTTATTTTTAATAGCATAAGAGTTTCTAATTTTCCATATAAATAAGAGATGGCTGATTCAATCTCGCTAATAATTTTAAATTGGGAGTGTTCGTCTTTTTAACTTAAAAACATAATTATTCAGTTTACTTAATTTAATATTTTTTAAAAAAATGATAAAAAAAGACTGCCGAAACAGAAAAATTACAAATAAAAACATTTGATAACATTAGTATAAGTTTTAAAAATAATAGTATAAGTTTTAATAACAATTTTTATAATATGGTCTCTATATGTAATTTTTCTATTTTGATAGTTTTTTTTTTGTTGCTATTTTCCCCTCTTTTAAATGCTCACAGCCAAGAAGATGAATTTGCTGTCTGTATGAATATAAAAGGCGTTATGGGCCAAGGACCCCACCCTTTCCGCTTGCACATGACCAATCGTACCTCAATTGTTTTCTCACAATCATTCCGGTGAAAGATGGGAATCAAATATAAAATATTTTCAAATTTAATTATAAGTTACTTTTTTTTTCCGAAAAAAATTGTTTTTCACGTTCGCACAAATTTAAACTTCATGCGTTATCATTTTAGGAAGGATTCCATTTCAAAATTGGTAACTTCATGATAATGGCCTTATGTCCTGGAAGTCTTTTATTAATGTGAAATATACTATCGCATATTCTTTTGACTTGGGCTCTGAAAAGCACGTGTTTGAATAATTAAGAAAATAAAAGCAAGTGTGTTGGGAGTTTCCTCTCATTAAATTTTATGTGGTAGAGTATCTTCTAAAATTTTATATTATTTTTGTAAATTTGAATTTATTAATCATCTTTGTCGGTAAGTTGCTTCCCCAGTTGCCAACCTCGTGCTAAGATTAATGAGGTCATGGAATGAAATCAGCCTAGTGACGTCACCAACTCAGCCTTCATTTGGATTGTCCATTACGTCGGTCAGTATAAGTGTTCCATTTTGTGTTTTCAATTTTAGTTTGGACAAATTGATAGGGCATGGGTGATCTTACCCTTCTTACGCAATGAAATTGAACTCTTTTGGATCTCCAATTATACAGTTTTCAAAATAAGAACGAAAACATGTTTCCAAATTCCTACCCTCTACCTCAGTAATGCCCTTAATATCACATGTTTTTTCATAAAATACTCTGATCATGTTTTTTAATATCCTTTATTTCTTTCCCCCTTGTTTATTGTTAGAAGAGTATCATTAAGAATAATTTTAAAAAAATTAATAAAAAAAACATAAGTTTTATACGTAGGATCAATATTTACATTTATATTAAATTATTGGATATTTTAACAGGTAACATTTCTTTTTGAACTTCCGGGAAAAAGGAAAAAAACTCGTACTCAATTTACATACAATAATCATTATTACATCTTAGGAACGTTCCGTTTTTATTCCCCAGAAAAACTGAGAAAACTCAACAGATTTCTTCCATGAAAGATACCTATCCTTGTGCCTAAAACATAACAATTCTTTTTAGGTGTTTCGATTTGTTTAAAAATATTTTCTAAAATATTTTTCTGCAAATCAAAATAAATTTATCTATATATTTACTTTGTATATAAAATAATTACTTTTAAAATTATGATTTGATTTCAATCCAAATGCCTTTTAATTTACGTGGGATATTCATCCGCTCGCAAGTCAAAACCCGACACAATTTATTGCTGCTGGCGGATACTTGGAGATTGAGACGGATACAAGTGGAATTCAGAAGCATCAACGGCTTCGCAGACCCACAATCAAAGACTAGTCAATCACTCATTACTTACGTCACGTAGTCTCCTTTAAACTCTTATTAAGTTGAGAAATGATTTGACAGGAAATAGGCATGGGTTACACAAGTTAGAATTAGATTGTAATAGCCATTAGAACTTTCAACGACAACATTTTAATCATGATTTACAACTTATAAGATAAATATATGAGAAAAATTTTATTTCAGTCTACATAAAAAAAATTGAAAAAAAAAGTTGAAAATTACCACATGTCAAATAAGAAATATTAACAAAAATTTATTGTTATTTGTAAATTTAGTATAGTCAACACCAAATAAAATATTATTACCAAACCTAATTTAAGATTTAGTAAATTTTTAATTTTTTTGATCATTTTCCCTTGCATAAAAGTATTTATAATTGTTTATATCAATGGTTTGAGCAATAGCTCCCACCGCTCATACGCACCAACCTTGTCCTCTAATCCTACTCAACGGTGGGAACAAAGAATGCGTACGCAAACTCTTATTGATTCATGGGTATATACAATTTTACATACAATCAAAACTACTAATCTGACAGGTCCTCCTGCTCCTGCTTTGTAGCGTAAATCTCATTTAGAAATAATGAAAAGGAAAAAAAATTCGGTTAGCAAATTACTGAAGCTGAAAGAAAGGGACCTGGCTTGCCAGAATTTGCACCAGCGATGATAAGTTTCACATGGGGTGGATTCAGGATCTTGGGCAATTCACAACAAATCGTAGGATCGAATAGCAGATGCCAACGCGTTTCACTTGGAGTCATGTAAGTGGCTAGTATGCTTCCAACTGGCCCCAACGTTGTTTTAGAATGAGAGCTACGCAACCTTGTATTCTCAAGCCATTGCACTCTCTTTAATAATGGCTGAATCTCTGACTAGGTTTGCCGCTGTTACCATTAATAAATGGAATCATTAGTTTTCATGTCGTTGATGAAAATGCTTATCCAAGACTCATTCAAGTTTTTATTGCAAACTTTGACATGAACAGCCGTAGCTGCCTGCCGTGTACAAGTTAATGCACAATCATGATAATAAAAAATTGGGGGAACTAAATATTAAACTTTACCCCTCTTCTTGATCTTGTTACGGAAGCTTCTTTTCCTGCTAAATGCTCTCTCCTGCAGTATTAGAAATCAATGAATCAGTCTACAGATCAAGCCCTCCGTTTTATGGATTGAAAATAATGCTAGGTTGAATCACTTTGTAGATAGCTATGCATGATCTCCCTGCAGAGGATTCAATGTTACTACAAATAATACAGCCAAAAAGAAGGTGGATGTAATTCTTTTTTTTTTTTAGGAGGGATGGGGGAGGAGGATGTTCAAAATTTACCACAGGTCGACCAAGTTCCCCTGCTCGGCGAACCGCATCAACAAGCTCCCTATTAGATTCAGTGTACATGCTAGTAACAAGTCCAAATTGACCAGCTCGACCAGTTCTACCAACCCTATGCAAGAAGTCTACAGCAGAACTAGCAAAATCTGCCTGAAATTGACGCACAAGGTTGAATACCTATAAGTAAAAACATACTAAACAGAAAAAGATTTCATCAAAGTAGTAGCTTAGTTGACACAAATGGCAAAACAAAATTGTTTGGCATACTCATACTGAAATTTAAACTTCCCAAATAATGAGCTCCATTCAGAGAAAATACAAGACGTGTCATGTCTATTATAAGTAGCACTTCTGAAGCTTGTCGGATGTTGTCATCAGCATGTTGTGGGAGCGTCAAAATCCAAATCATGCTTCATAAGGCCTAAGAGTAATTATTTTAAAGACTTTGATCAATCTTTTCTAAGAATCAGGCGCATCAGTAGTTTAATTTGAAAGATGGCAATTCAGATGAACAATACAAAAACTGCACTTGAAAAATAGGTGATCTTGAACATTTTGCCACCGAAATCTCAGGAGCTAACATGTGATCATGGCAGAAACATTATGTTTGAGAATGACTTTCTTTCTAACCTATATGGCCTTTTGGCATGTTCAAATTGAGCATTTCATAATGTTTCAGGTTTGGGAGTTGGCACTCTTTTGAGCAAATTATAAATCTTCAATAAAAGTCTCCAACCATTTTTATGATCATTGCCGTTCCTGCACATGGTGAGAGCTCAAGCCTTTCATCTTCTCAATACCAGATCTTCCCTAATTTGGTTCGCTCTAAAACCTACTATTATTGACCTATTGATACCCCCACCCGGGGGGGGGGGTGGTCCAACTGCTGGCAGAATCAAATGCCACAGTACTGCAGTAAAAAGAGAGGCACCTGGATAACATGTGAGACGTTTGGGATATCAACACCACGAGCAGCTGCATCAGTACATACAAGAACACCACCTTTCTCTCTGAATTCGACTAAGGCCTTAGCTCTCTCATCCAAGGTGCGACCCTTATGATAGCGTAAACATCCAATCCTTGATCCGTCCAATATCTTTGCCACAGCTTCAACAGCCTCAACAGTGTTGGCAAACACCATTGTTCGAGAAATGCCCCCAAAACTATCCAAGTCTTGACTGAAACCTTGTCTCACAGCCTGTATGAGTTCATCCACCTGTGTGTCAACAGTAACTTTAACCCACCTCTGCTCCAGTCTGAAATTGAAAAGAAATATAAACATATTAAGTCGTAAATGAATCAATCATATTATTTGCCAATATGCCCAAGATACCTTGGATTTGACAAAATTTGACAAGTTAAAAAGTGACGCAGTTATGCATGCTTTTCACATGGCTTTCTAACAAAGAAAGCACAGCATTAAGGACTAATGTCTTCATTAAGTCAAACTGTGTCCTTGCCCTATCATTGCACTAGGCAGATACTCGCATGACTTTAAAAATCATATCCATTTGAGAGAGGAACTTCAATTGAAAATACTACAAGTTGAGCATTTTGTGAATTGTTTAATTTGGGCAACTCGATATCTCTGAAATCATACTTGGTCAAAAGACTAACAGAAATGCCTCTATAAACTTTTGGATCCTATTTCTGACCTATTGCAATCACACATCTTCCCTTCTTACTTTGGGAATGTCATTATTGATCTCCCTCTTCCCCTCAGTAAAATACTAGATAAATTATTGATGAGTCCTTATTTTATCATGATTTTCCATATCTTATTTAAGGATTTTATCATATTTATTGGACTTAAATGCATGAATTATGATTAATTTGGATTAATTATGATTGGATGAAAATATTGCTTAAAAGGGCAAAAATATCATATTCTTATGATTTATTTCAATTGATTGATTTTTGAAAAATATGATATTACATTATCTTAAACTTTATTGAAATACATAACTGGATCTGTATGCCATGCAATGTAAAACCGCATGAGATAATTCTACCTTGTCTTCAACATAAATACAGACAACTTATCTCTGAAAATCTACATTTATTACAGGTTACATTAATTCAATATTCTCAAGGATATTAGACCAGTTTTTCGAATTCGTCTCTTAGTACTATTGATTAGGATATTATATGAGTCGAGATCTCCTTCTTATGTATCCGTCTTTACCTTGTTGTCATCGATTAAAAAAAAAAAAAAAAATTCAAGCAACAGAACCACTTATGCTGCAGCTATTAATAGATCCACACTATTTGATCACAACAGCTATGTAGCAAGGAATAAAAATGAAAAATTCACTATTTATAATGAATTACAAGGTTAAAAAAAAATGAAATACCTTGGATTGTGACAATGAAGATAATTTCCACTAACCCACTCGACATCAGGAAACATATGCTTTAACATTGCTCCAGCTGTTTTCTTCCCATTCACAGGAAGTGTGGCTGCAACAAAAATGTACTGCTTACTACGCTCATAATTTTTCCTCACTCTCCTCCAGTCTTTTCTTTTGATTGAACCAGCTTCATTATTGGTGTCAACCATATGGGTATCATCATCCCCACCTTCTGAGATGGTTTCTATAGCAGGCTGTTTCTGTTCACCATATACAGCACTGTGTGATGATGAGGTAGATTCTAGCTCCAATGGTAACTCTGATACTGGTTCTTTTGATTGGGATAATAGTTTTTCATCAAAACGAAGCAAGTTTATCAGACGAATCACTTTATTTTGGAAACTCCCACACAGAAGCATATCAGCTTCATCAAATACCTGCCAATTACCAAGAACAAGCATGTAAATGATAACAGTTGTGGTTCAATTGAAATGCTGTCTGGATTAACATATTAAATAAGATCACAATAAAGGAGAGGTACCACATATTTAGCACCACGCATAAATTCCATTCGACGGCTTCTGCTTTGTTCAACATAGTTTAGAAGAGCAACGGGTGTTGTCACAATGATATCTGGTTCATGAACTGGCCATCCCTGAGTAAGAAAAAGCCCTTGGTCAAGTAAACCAGACACCAAATTCACAAGGTAAGACTTAGCATAAACACAACCTTGCTGACAGAGTAATGTACTAGCAAGCCAAAATAACCTAATGTGAATTGCACAAACATCAGTACCTGTCTACCACAAATGGCTGCCACACTAACAATCGGTGCACCATTGTCCCCACAAATACCGCTAGCCATTTGAACTACCTGTTCACAGAGTTGTACATTTGGACACAGAACGAGCAGAAATTCGGAGAGAGACTCTTTATGATTATGGACAGTACTTGCAGAATTGTTTTTGGAACCTCGAAGCCTATCTATTAGAGGAACTAGGTAACTGTGTGTTTTGCCGCTACCAGTCTCTGCTGCAATGACCACATCCTTTCCAGAGAGCACAGATGGTATAGAAGAAGCCTGAATCACAAAGAAAACAATCATAGAGTGATAAGAAGTGTGCTCATCAGACGCAGTATTATCAAAAACAAGAAAAATCAAATATCTGATTCCTATTCATGATCTAGTTAACCAGTACTGAAGCATGTAGCTATTTAATTCCACTCTGGGGACACAGGCTAAGTTCCACAATACATATGACAATCACAACCGCAACAGAGGGGAAAAACACAGATTTTGATATACAAGGTATACAAAATCTTAGCAGTCACACAAGAGGCTCTGCGGAAATGCGTGCTAATGAAGAGAGAGATAAGAAGCGGACCTGGACCAGAGATGGCCTATCGAGCCCAATACTAGAGAGAGCTCGGGAAATGGCATCAGACAGACCAAGTGAATTCCACGAAACATTTTCTTCCGCCAAGAATGTGTCTCTCCCTTTGGCATCTGCTACCGCCACCACGGTACTCTCGAACGCCCGGAATAGCCGTTGGCGAGGACGAGAAAGCGAAATGGAGGGAACCTTAACCAAAGAAGGCGAAGAAGTGGAGAGGAAAGAGTATGTATGCTTGAAATGGGAGAAAAAACGGCATCGAACTGATGGTAGTTGGAGATGCAACATCAAAGCGGAACGGTGAAGAATCATCGGCTTCTTCTTCAGAGGTTGCGTTGAAAGTAGACACGAGTCTTCCCTTCACTGCGCTTCAAGCACAAGACGAAGATAAGGGCTTAGGGTTTAGAGCGTCACGACACACCGTTTAATGCCTGTTAACTTGAAAAGAAAACTAATCTCCTAGTTCCTGTAGTTTTAACTGGTTTTGAATCATGTCTTTAAAATTTTTTTTTAATTAGATCCTTTTTTTTTTGTTAAATTCATAGCTCCTTCGTTAAAACTTCTGTTAAAGTGGGGTGAAATGGTGTCCAGCTGGAATTATTTTGTCCAGATAAAGTTTGACTAACCATCCAACTAGATTTCAACCCAGTCTTGTTATGGGTCGCATAGTCTAAGGGAGTTTGCTGAGCATCCAGCTACATTTTGTACTAACGTCGACGCCTATGCGCACTCCCTCACCTGCTTTCATTCCCAAAATGTGTTCAATTCACTATCCATTGCCCAAACTGGTACCCACCAACTCTCAGTCTCTTCTTTCGTCTTCCTTTCAGATCGAAAAAATTTGAGTGGAATGAGAGCACAAACGGGATCGTCGGAATTGGATCACAAACGTTGCAACATGGCTATGAATCACCATGTCCTCCTTTGCCGTCTTGTCCTAGTACAGCACCAGCGACTTAAACTTCATCGCCTTCCGCCACCGGCCTCACCAACACAGATTCCTCTGGTGTCGTCGAAGTCTTCGGCGGAAGGAACCCAAATATATTCCAAATATTCAATTCTACAATTCAACTACAGTATACTCCCTTGCCATCTAATAACTGTTAATACTAAGGCATCTCGCTCATTTCTCTTTCATCCCTCCAAATACGACATTGTATCAATTTGAGGTCGAACTAAAAGAAAACACAAAAATTTGAAAAGAAACCATCAGATCTTGTTTCATTTCTATCTTCTCAAGTTGGAAAAATGGGATCAAATGATTTGGGGATGAGGATTGTCCATGGCGAGGCTGTTTCTTTGTGGATAGATGGCGAGGTCGGTTTTATACTTGAAGACATTCCTCATTTCTCCGACTATATTCCTAATCTTCCCTATCTCTTCTTTTATACCCTATCTTTACTCTTCGTTTGTAGAAATCTAATCAATACCCCTCTTGAAATATAGTGGTGCTTGTTTGTGTTTGCAGATATATATACTTCATCAGCATCTAGTCTTTGAAGTGATGAGAAGACAACAAAGATTCTTTTAAACCATTTATTAATACAATTAAAAAGATGATAAATAAATATTAATTTTAATTTCCAGCTCGATACTTGGTCAAAACTCATTTTGACAAAATAGTTCCAGTTGAACACCATCTCACACCCCTTTAACAGAAGTTTTTAATCGGAAGGAGCTATGAATTTAACCAAAAAATTTAAAGGATCTAATAAAAAGAAAAAAAAAGTTCAAAAACCGAATTCAAAACTAGTTAGAACTATAAGGACTGAGAGATTAATTTTTCTCCTTATTAACAAGAAACAAAACAGGCTTTGATTGTTAGAGGGAAATTTTGGTCAACGTGTTCTAGTTTTTTTCTTTCAAAAAGTGTTTTTTTCATGTAATTCAGGTATATATTATACTCTTGATTGATAGAAAATTTAAATTTATCATTTCATACTTAAAAAAGTCTTAAGAAACATTTGGTGTCATTTATCTTGCAAGTCCCAACAAAAATGTTACCCATACAGTGGTAGCAAAAATGTGGTAACAAGGGCGTGATGAAAACAGGAATCAAGTTCAAACTTTTACAATATATTAAACTACTTTTTATAAATTAATAAATATTAATGTTAATACTGCTTATAATTAATAATATATTATTATATTGATTTTTTAAAATGATGTCGTAATTATGGCAATGGAAGATATATGCTTTACAAATTCTTGTACGTGGTTTATACTTTGCTATTAGCTTCTAAATGAGCCTATTATATTTATAATATATTCTTCTAGTCCTAAATATAATACTTCTCTATAGTTATAATACTCCTTTTGACTTACATTTCAAAAAGAGTATTATATTTAGGATTTAAGGAATATTAGTTATTTAAAAATTAGACCATGCTTGGCGGAATTAAAAAAAGCCCTTGCAATTTAATGCAATTGTCACTTTTAAACGCTGACATTACTCTATTGATGAAGTAATCAATTTTTTTATAAGTCTTAGCTGAAGTAAAAACATATTTCGGCCAAAAAGTTACTATTCAATTTTTACTTAGACTAAAATTGTGATTCTTAGATGCTGTGCAATTCATTTAGATTTGACTTTGAATGATCAAAATCTTATAATTCATACTTCTTAAAAATAATCAATCATAAAAAAATTTGGAAATTAAAAATTTTATATTTCAACCATTCAAATCATATTTTGAATGATAGTACTTAATGTTCATCGTCATGCTGAGCACTAAAAAGAAAAAAGTTTGAATGCTTATCATTTGAATGGTTTAGATTTAATTTTTTTATTTTTATTTTTTGAAGTTTAATCTGTTGTGTATAATATTTTAAATAATAATAATATTTTAACTGTCCGTTTTTCATGAAGTGGTTTTTTCAAATAAAATTATCGGTTAAAAATTTTAAATATGAATTGTTAGATCTGTGTTTAGAGAGTATAGATCCCATCATAATGATAATTATCCAAATTTCGGTAAAAAAGAAAAGAAAAGATAATCACCCAAACAAGACCCCTAAATAAGGACCCAAACTGTGGATGTTGCTTATAAGTTGGAAAAAAAAGTTCAATAAAACATAAATACCTTAATAACGCAAATTTTACAGTTCAAATAATAATTTTTGGCCGAATTTTTTGATCAGCTAAGACTTATAAAAAATTGATTATTTCATCAATAGTATTTCAGCGTTTGAAAATAACGAAAAATTAATTTTCATGCTATCACTAATGGCACGGGTAGTCTTGTCTGACCCAAAAATAGAATGTGCTGATTAAGGGTTTGTTTGGGTGACCCTCAAAATCATGGTTTAGGAGACAAAACCATGGTTTGATGAATGTCACCCAAACATCATCAATTTTGGTCAATAATCTGAAACCATGGTTTTGGGCTAAAACCATGGTTTTAGATTTCAAAACTATGGTTTCAGGAAAAGTGAATTCATTCTGCTTCTGACTCAAATTGGAGAGATGATTGTGCCTGTCAGAGTAGATCTTAACAATAATATGACTTTAACATTTCTCAATTATTTTTTTATAAACATATTTAACCTTATATCTTATAAACATATACACACATCTTAATTATTTATTAATTATATTATCTTATGTATTATTAATTATGTTGGTAAAAAATATTATTAACAATTTTATTCCTTTAAATTAAAATATATCATAAAATTTATCTTTTATATAATATCATATTAATTTATGTTTTTTAGTAATTTGTATATATAAAAAGTATTTCTGATAACAACTATCAAACACTCTCACTTCTCAGAATCACTTTTTTACAAAATCTATTCTTCTCAAAATTTATTCTCCAAAAGCTATTCTTCAAACCATGATTTTGGTTTCATGAAACACACTCTAACACCTCATTGTTCTACTACATGAAAACTGTCGTTTTAAGCAGCGGACGGCAGCTGACAGAAGCCAGTCCCCTGGCCAGTACGATGCCACTCATTTTTTCTGTGCTGTAGCCTTGGAGTTGCATACCTATTTTGAGTAATATTCGAGGGTTTTGTTAGATCCCGCTCATGTGCTTTATAGCTTTTTTTATACTCAAAAAGCATGGACCTCCCAGCAAAACCCGGACCTCATACGATATTTTCATTAATGACTCGATAAATAATCACAATGGCCTGTCCCGGTAAATCAGCATCGGCAGCTAAATAACAAATCAGAGAAGTGGACTGTCCTCGGGAGATATTGAGGGGATTCCAGGGAATCTTCTGCGTAGAAATAAAAGCTGATGTCAAAGCTTGAATTCTTATCTCTCTGATTCTATCTGTAAACTAAAGATAGAGAAAGGGGGGGAAGGGAATAAAAAGGATCAAACTTTGAGAAGTTGACAACCTAATTCAGCAACTATTATAAGCACTGTCAGCAAGGTTTCTGCTATACCGCTGTGTTTCTTCTTCTGATACATAGTCTGAGTCTGTCATTTCAACTCTGTTCTCTCCCGTCGGTAATTTCCGCCTCTGGTTTTTTCCCAGCATTTCAAAATTGAAAATCTTCCCTCATATAAACTGTTATATATGATCCATATAGTCATTGGTTTTAGCGGGTTGAGTAAAGTTTGATCCTTTGTATCTCCTTTCTTAACTGTGCAATGTTTATTTTAGGCAATCTTTGCGTTTTTCTGCATTTCAGACAATGGATTGGTTCGAGAAGTCAACATTTCTCTTTCTGGCTTTGCTTCTTCCGGTTCTCCCCACCTTTCATGGAGTAATGTCCGATGAACACCAGCCTCTCTCTAAAATTGCCATTCACGAGACAATATTTGCTCTTGATGAGCATGCATATATCAAAGCGCCACTCCCAATCTCCTTGGATTGAGGGTAAAGTTTTAATAGATATTTTACTAATCACTCTCTTTTTTTAATTTAATCTCTAATGCTTTGGTATCTACCATTTTGCTGCAAAATTTGATTTGGGATTTTTGTTTAATTCACTGTGTCAGGGGCAAAATACCGAGTGGGTTAAACTGGAATATAGTAATCCCAAACCATCAAGTAATGATTGGATCGGAGTATTTTCCCCAGCAAATTTCAGGTAGACTGCATATCATTCATGACCTTGTTTAATCCCAGTCATGGATAACCAATCTATAGTGTAGATGCATTAATTGTAATGAATTACATTTCCCAATGTTCAGTGCTTCTGTCTGTCCTGGGGAAAACAGAATGGCAGGTCCTCCATTCTTATGTTCTGCGCCCATTAAGGTTCAAGTGGCTCAAGACCCTCTTTTTTATTTCTTTCTTTCTTTGATTGACTATTGATAGAAGAAGGTTTGTGAGGCTTGATATGAAACTGTCTCTTTCTTATTTTACAGTTTCAGTATGCAAATTTCTCCAGTAAGGAGTACGAATACACAGGAAAAGGTTTGTTGAAGCTTCAGCTGATTAATCAAAGATCGGACTTCTCTTTTGCTTTGTTTACGGGTGGTTTGTCAAATGTATGGTTAAAAATTCATCCTTATAATTTTCTTGTTTACCTAGTCAACTATATTTTGGTTGTAAGGATAGCTGAAACTGGTGAAACCTGTATTTGGAAGCATAGCAACTTGTCCTCCCCCCCCTCCTTTTTCAAGGGCCTGATCGCTTAACAAATTTCTTAATATCATCAATTTGGATTTTTTTTTTTTTTTTTGGGTCATCATAACGATGATAGCTCTGTGTAAAAGCATGTTTAAAGCTAAAGTCTCAGTTTCTCTGTTGGGGTCTCACCGTCCATCCTCCTTGTTGGAACCTTCAAACTCAGCATTGCCTTTCTGAATTATTGTTGGATATGGTGGCATTTTTGTAATCCTTGATTGACAAGTCTGAACCATAATACGAAAAAAGCTTATGCATCTTTAGATTTTCCCTATATGACCACCTTTATTGAATGCTCCTCTCCGCTTTCTTAGTTCAGAATTGGTTTTGTACAATAATCCTTTTGTTTGCCTGCTTTTACTTTGTTAATTCATTGTATACATAATGTTTGAGAGTTCTGGAAGTATTGATTGCATTATGAATTCTGTCTTTCTTCTATTAACAGCCCAGAGTAGTTGCAGTTTCAAACAAAATATCCTTTGCGAATCCAAATGCTCCGGTATATCCACGATTAGCACAAGGGAAAAGCTGGAATGAGGTAAGAATAATCTCTATTAATTTTAATATCTACTCTTATGATGCAACAAATGTTCATCTAGTTGGAATGCAAAGTTTTTCTTTGTAATGGTACTAGCATATGAATGTGGGACTCAATGAGTGAATAAAGAATGTCTGACAGTTTATCAGGAAAATTATATGCATATTCTCATTTTTACCAGATAACTGTAACTTGGACGAGTGGATATGGGATCAATGAGGCTGAACCTTTTGTTGAGTGGGATGTCGAAGGTGGAAACCGTGTGGCATCTCCGGCTGGGACACTGACTTTCGATCGTAATACCATGTGTGGTATGCAATTCTTTTATGCACCATTCAATTATAAACTTTGTGATATTTGCTTGTTTGAGAGTCTGATAAATGTTCTTTTGCGATGGCAAACCATCTTTATTTTGATGGCATAAAGCAACGCCAAAAATAGATTAACTCTTTTAGTCATTTCAACAGCTAGCTAGCTGAATGCACTTTATATTCAGAGGAAAGGGATGGTCTAATCAGAAAATGGCGTGAAAAATCTAATTGATCTACATATATACTTATATAGGTGCCCCAGCAAGGACTGTGGGATGGCGTGACCCCGGATTCATACATTCAAGTTTTCTGAAGGATTTGTGGCCCAACAGAAGGAATGCTATACTTTACCTCTACCCACACCCCACCTCACTCTTACCACCTGAGGAACATAGATATTAGTTTACAGTGTTTCGGTTAAATCATAGTAACTTGTAAGCAAAACCAAAAAATTGAATGTTTCTTTTCAAAACACAAAATTATGGCTGAGACAAATTGATATCAAATGAACAGAACATGACTCAGATAACTCAAATTTTTTTGATGAGATCCATTTACTGATGGTTATGGAAGTAACTTGGGGATTTTGAGTAACTCTTGCGCCACTTCTATTCTTTCATCCTTCTTGACTTGCTTTAGTAAGAAAGCGAGATCTTTATTGGTAGATTGTAACTGCAGCTCAAACACTGGTTTATGGTGTGAATGATAACATTGCGAATTTATTTGCAGCTGTTCATTGTACATGACACTTACAATTTCGTTTTTCCTATTTTTCAGGTACACATACAGGCTCGGACATAAACTATTTAATGGTACAATTGTGTGGAGTCAAGAATACCAGTTCAAAGCACCTCCTTTCCCCGGGCAAAATTCACTGCAACGGGTAGTCATATTTGGTGACATGGGAAAGGTTTTGTTTCCTTTTCATTTTCTTCTCTGTGGAAATTCATTGTTTTATCTGAATACAATCCATTTCAGTGTATGTTGCTTGCTTGCATGAGATTAATTAGTTGTTGGGATCTCAAATATTTTTTGCTCCACTATGAGGATAGGACACACTTCTTTCTTCTTCTTTTACATGTCATTTATATTAGTTGAATGCCACAGATTATATGCCTACGCACATGGACACACTTACAATATTCTTTCCAAGAAAAGATGTTATTCAGTTTATTGTTATCTAATGGTTTAATTTGATTTTCCGACAAGCAGGCGGAAGCTGATGGTTCCAATGAATATAACAATTTCCAGCCCGGATCCCTGAACACTACAAAGCAAATCATTCGTGACTTGAAGGACATCGATATAGTCTTTCACATTGGTGATTTATGCTATGCAAATGGATACATTTCACAGTGGGATCAATTCACTTCACAGATTGAGCCTATTGCATCAACCGTACCTTACATGATAGCCAGGTTTGCCATTCGGAAGAGGATATTCTCAGCGTGCTTTTCCCTCAGCGTCCAAATCGCAGCCGTTAAAATGAATCTAACACAGATCATATTATGCCACATCATGATGCTATTAAAAATTAAAAATTTGAAATAAATCTCAATTATAGTGTAGAATTTTTTACTAGATTTCAACTAGGATATTTTTGCCATGGAATATCCAATTTTTTTCCCCTGACTCATTTTAGTTAAGAAATTTATGAAATGTTCAGACTCCAGATTTATCTAGATAATCATAAAGAATAAAAAAACTTAACCATCATACATTTATATATAGTTTTGTGGACTTATTCATCTTAAACTGGAAGATTTACCTAAATTTAATCTGGTACAGATCGAGTCAGAGAGAACCATAAAGAGTGGCAAAACTATATCAAGTATTTTATTTTTTAAAATTTTTAATTAAAATACTTGATGTCAGAACTTTACCTCTTTTTATGATCTTATCTGACTCAATTTATATTAATTTGAATCTTATTAAACTCAACAGTTAAAACAAATAGATCCAAGAAATTAGATGATGCTCTCAAATTTCTTTTTTCAAAAAAATAGTTCATTTTTTTAAAAAACCAATTTTGTAGCATTAATTAGATTTTTTTTAAATTTTAAATAGCTTGATGATGTGGCATATTGTGAGTTCTTAGATTAATGTGATGGTAGATATTGGGACGTTGAGAGACGCTGAGGGACGCGCCGCTGAGAGAACCCGGACCCTTTGCCATTCTACGCATGCGTTAAGGGTTTCAACTTCTTTTATTTACTGCTTCTATTATGTTGCTTCAGCGGCAACCATGAGCGTGACTGGCCGGGAAGTGGATCATTTTATGGCAACATGGATTCTGGAGGAGAATGTGGTGTATTGTCTCAGACTATGTTTTATGTTCCTGCTGAGAACAGGGAAAAATTCTGGTATTATACATTTTAACGTCAACGTTATTTACTGTGTATTTTAACGTCCACCTTTTTTACTATGTTTTGCACTTGCAGCTGTGTTAAGTGATGGTTGATTGGTTAAATTCACTTGTATGCCTTGTAGATGTAATTTGAAGGCAATATGCATTCTATTTGGATATCAAATTTGTATTTTCAAGACATGCACTAGAGAATTGGAGATATTTGCTTCTGCTGCAAGTCGGACTAAATTCAATGATATTGGTCTCATTTTTGTCAGGTACTCTGTTGACTATGGGATGTTCAGGTTCTGCATAGCGGACACAGAACATGATTGGAGAAAAGGATCAGATCAGTACAAATTCATTGAGCACTGCCTAGCATCAGTTGACAGACAAAAGCAGCCATGGTTGATATTTCTTGCTCACCGTGTTCTGGGATATTCTTCTGCTAGTTTTTATGTAGAAGAAGGCTCTTTTGAGGAGCCAATGGGAAGGGAGGACCTTCAAATACTGTGGCAAAAGTACAAGGTTGACATAGCCATGTATGGACATGTCCATAGCTATGAAAGAACATGCCCAATCTACGAGGTACGACAATATACTCTCTCCAATCCTCTTTATAAGACTCTACCCATTAGTCTTTAATTCAGAACCCCTTCCAAAATCTGGTGAAACATTTATCATTCATTTTAAAAAATGCCCTTGGCTCTTCTAGCTTAAATAATGATTTGTCCCCCCCCCCCCCCAAAAAAAAACACAAAGAAAAAAGCCCTCAATGGAACTATACTACCAATTAAAGGATAAATATGGCAAATTGTGAAAGTTTATGACAATTTAACTAACTTTAGTTAACTTCTTTAATCTCATGAAAGTAGTTACTAGAGCTTACTGGATGGAGTAGCTAAGTAACATTAAAGTTGCACATTGCACACGCATATGGGCCTGAAGCATCTGAAATTATGAGATGATCAGTACTTTGTGACATGACAGAATTAACTGAAGCTTTTCTTGCTGATTCAGAATATTTGTACCAGTAAAGAGAAAAACAATTACAAGGGCTACCTGAACGGGACAATACATGTAGTGGTTGGTGGAGGAGGAGCAGCACTTACAGAATTTGCCCCCATAAACACCAAATGGAGCATATTTAAAGACATTGATTTTGGATTTGTCAAACTTACAGCATCTGATCATTCTAACCTCTTGTTTGAGTACAAGAAGAGCAGTGATGGACAAGTTTATGACTCTTTCAAGATATCCAGGGACTACAGAGACATCTTGGCTTGCGTTGTCGATAGTTGCTCGCCGACAACATTGGCATCTTAGATGATCTTGAACAGGAAAAAATTCTTGATTTTGTATTTAGTTTCGTTGAATAATATGATGATCTGTGCGGACTCAAGAAGGACAATGTGATGGGCTATTGAATACTTCAGTGATGATTTGTAAGAACTGTGGAGGAATGTGTAAATAAGATTGTATTAAATGAATATTTAATTTTCCAAAACAAATAAAGTTGACATTTCATCCCATGCAATTTGCAAATTGAATTTATTTATAGTCAAATGGGTCTTTCTTTTGATGCAAAATTTAAGCCGAAAACTTTCACTCAAAAAAATAGTTAAGCCGAAAACAGGTAATTCCAACGAACATTGAGAATGAGTCCATGGGCAGTGTGCGTATTCCTTCCTTAAAACTTACAAGCAACAGCTCTTTATTTCCTTTGTACGAGTGTCTTGTTTAGTTCATTGTTGAATTTGAGTTAAAATTATTGTCATGTAAATACTATATCAAATGTTCTGAGAACTTGAACAAAAATCAGAGATATTTTCTTATTCTGTAGAATATAATGTGACTTGATATATCAATATTATGGAATTATATAATTGACATTTTATAATTTGTTAAAATATGTTCTAAAATTTTCAATTAATGAAACATATGTGATATCATTTTAGGTTATATATAATCAACAAAGAATAATTCATATCCATGGTGAAAATAGAAGTTAAAAGTCTTTAACTAGTTGAGTAGCTGGGGATACTTAATTTTATCTTAATTTTATCCAATAAATTATACGAACAAAATGCGGAGTAAGAGTTGTTGGCCAAATTCAACTTGATGTAAACATTGTATATTTTTTTTGTTTCTATATCATTGTTTTTCTTAATATATTTTAAATTATAAACTAATTTTACGAAGACTTTTTAATATTTCATTTTTTTATTTTATTTAAAGTTTCTAATTGATAATATTAGGTAAAAATTAAGATATAATTTCAAGTATTCATATATTTAGAGAATATGCTGTTAAATTTTTTAAGAAAATATATTTTTGATGGAAATATTTTTAAAATCTTAAAGCTTCCTTTATTTTATTATATCATTCGGTGTCGGGTGAAACCCGCCTACCCCGCACAGGATTAGGTCGGTTTGGGCTCGGGGGTATTTTGGGGATTTAAGGGTTTGCAGTTTCACCACTGGCGCTCGTCGGGCACCCCAGCCATCTACGATTTGTGTTTTCTGAGGCGCGAAGCAATATGCAGGTATAAGTTCTGCATAAATTCCCTGAATCCTTTTTCTGTATTTTTGCCGCCGGTTAAATGATTGCCGTTTCTTCTCCCCCCCCCCCGGGGAAAATCTTAGTGTTGCCATGGAGTAATTATCCCCAAGTTTTTCCCCCCCTATTCTAACCCTATGAATTACAGTCGAAGCCTTGAAATTTCCCTTCCCAAACGGGTGTCAAATATCTGAATCATTTGTTGCTCCTACTACGATGCAGGCTAGTGATAGGTTCAACATCAATTCCCAGCTTGAGCATCTTCAAGCTAAATATGTTGGAACTGGGCATGCGGATTTAAATAGATTGTGAGTCCTTATTCCCGGAATTCGTTTTCTTATCAAATTTTCTCCCTGAAGTTTTTGTATTATTTAATTTGCTTGTTCTCTCTTTTAATTCGTCTTCGATATAGTGAGTGGGCAGTGAACATTCAGCGTGATAGCTATGCATCATATGTTGGCCACTACCCTATTCTCGCATATTTTGCTATTGCTGAAAATGAATCGATTGGAAGAGAACGCTACAGCTTCATGCAGGTTCTGTCTTCTCTCCCTTTCCTCCTTTCAATGAGTTCGTTATTTGCTGTATAAATGATGCGTTATCTGAATTTTGCCATTGGACTGTTATTGCTGTTGTGTTATTAATGAACACAGAAAAGCAGCATGCTGTGCGTGTGTGTGATTTTTTTTAAAAAAAACAATAGTTCGCTGTTTTCTACTGTTTCACAGAAGAAACAGTATTTTCTTCATTTAAGACCGCTCATGGCCATTATTCGACAGGGTCTTTGGTTCCATCCGATGAAGTTGCATGTTGGGAGTTTCTTACAGCATTGCATCTTATTAGTTGGCATCACCTCAGATGTGAATTGGTTTACCTGAAATCTTGAGGATTCAAAGTCACAGTTAAGTAAATTGATAAAGCGGTGAAGTGAAAAATGCATGGAGAAGGAGGCATTAGTAGACACTTTATGTCTTTCAGAAATTAGACGAGTAGCCAGATGATCTGTATACGGTCTTATGAACCTTATATTGTGTTTTAGCATTTCAAAGAAGCACTGAATTAAGGAAAACAAGCCAAAAAGTGACTATTAGGTATATGAAAATAAAATGGCTCTTATAGAATTTTGAAAAAACCCATCCTGGTCTAATGAAAAGTTATTTGATTGAGGTTAATATTGACATCTTTTGGCATGGGACTTTGAGATGGTTTTGCTAAATGGATTGCAAAATGGATCCCTAATCACATCAAATTGTAGTACTAAGCTGATTGATCAAATGTTGTATAATGATTCCTTCTTGTTACAAACTAAGCCAGTGCTATGGGGGCATAGGCAGTGTGGTAAAGGGGCATGAGTAGGGATTGAAGACATCAGGCTCATTATGGGTGCCGAATGAGCTGTACGCTCATCGGCTGTGTAGGGCATTTTAATCAAGGGGGTGTTTGGCAACCCTGAAAAGTGCTTCTCAGAAGCACTTTTCCATAAAACGAGGCAAACTTCTCTACATATTTACTTCGTAAACTGTAAAAGTACTTCTAAAACCATGGTTTGGTTTCTATCCAAACACCCTTCAAGTGTCATATGTACTATGTTCCTGTTAATTAAAGATATAAAGCTGGGTTTGATTTGGTTCCCTTTTTCATATCTGATTGAGATTCTGCCCATGGGGTAAGTTTTTATTTATTTGAACCTATACACCATCAAAATGTAATTTGATATTATAGCTTTATTTTTTGGGGTTGGTGGCAGTTTTGCCATCCTTTTACCACAACTTTGGGAAAATGAGTTGAAAGATTAATTATTCTGCGATGTTGCATGTGATTGAATTATGCATGACATGACATGCTCAATGGTGCCGCCAATAAGCAAAAGAGCTCTGAAAAGTTTCTGACTTGGGGGATTTCTGCTTGTGATTCTTTTTGTTGAATGGATTCTTGTTCTCTAGGACTGGCATCTTATGATGCCGTTTGATCTTTGATGTTACTTACTGTTATCATATTACTGAAGCTAGCCATTGACAACAAATTGTCTCCAGTATCCATCCTAAATGACATTAGTTGTTGCATTTCTTACAAGTTCTTTCTTGTGTGCAGAAAATGCTTCTACCTTGTGGTCTACCTCCAGAAAGAGAAGAAGATTGAGAATTGCCATCTGGATCACATAGTGGATCATCATTGCCGGTTGTAGCATTGGACCGTTTATCATGTTATGTTGATCAGATGCTTGTATCGCTTCTATGCTACTGATTAGAGTTTGTTCTGCCCTGGTAGGGTTCTTGCTGCTCTAGCATTACTTGCTCTGGAGCTCGGAAATTTAGACAATGGGATAATGTGCTTACTGCTATGTTTATTTATAGTGTTATCTTAATGTTTTCCTCTCAAGGGCAGATCCTTTCTAAACTGGTTTTATCGTTTTAAGCATTAGCTTGTGTTTATAACCATATCAATACAGCCTTGTAGTAACTTGTAACGTGGCCATTTAATATCTGCCAAGCAAATAGCTTTGGTTCCATCAATTTGATAAGGTGAATCAGTGATGATTCTCAATGGTAGGGGTGTTCAAGGCCGGCCCGTCCCGGTCGGCCCGTTCCGGTCCCGGTCTTATTGGGACGGGACGGATCCGTCCCGAAATTTTTCGGGACGGGACAAACCGGGACGGGACAAAAAAGGGACCGGGACGGGACGGGACACGGGACGGGGTCGTCCCGTCCCGTCCCGGTTCCTTTTTAAAAAAAAAAATTAATTTTTTTAATTTTTTATATAATATCATTTTTTTCATATTTTTTTTAAGATTTGAGACTATTGTATGGAATTATGGATATATTTATTTAGAGTTTTTATATTTGTTAATGATTTGAGATTATTGATGATTAGAATTTTTAGCAAGTTTTTATTGTGTTAAAAGCTTTTGTTTAGAGTTTTTAATAACTATTATATGTAATATTTTGAGCTTTTGTTTAAGAGAGCCCAAACAAATAAAAAAGATGTTTTTATAAGATTTAAGCTTAAAAAAATATAATTAAAAAAATCAGATTTTTTAAAAAAAATTAAAAAAAAATTAAAAAAAATTAAAAAAATTAAAAAATAATAATTTCGGGACGTTCCGGTCCCGTCCCGGATCCGTCCCGTCCCGACCGGGACCGGGACAACCCCGGGACGGGCCGGGACACGGGACAGAAAATCTGTCCCGTTACTGTTCACCGGGACGGAACCGGGACGGGCCTGTCCCGGTCCCGATCCGTCCCGTGAACACCCCTACTCAATGGCAGCCATTCTCGATGCAAATGCAATGAAAGGCCATGAACAAAAGTAGCTTAATATCAAGCCAGGCAAAAGTACAGAGAACTTTTCAAAAGTGACGCGACACTGATTTTTTTTTTTTTTGGTTTTTTGGGGGCCTGAAACACGACACAATGATTCAGGCAAGGGGGAGGTCTTGAATGGCTTATCTAGACCGCGTCATTAGGATACCAAATACTGACAGTATACCAAGCTTTAATGGTGAAAATGCAAATGGACATCAATTAAACAGCAGAGCGGTGGTGAACCGGCGTGGACCAAAATATCCGTTAGTTGAGGATGAGTGGGTTCCGATATAAATACTTGGAAGTGGGCCATGTTGTGCCAATCGATTATGGAAAGGAAGTCAATTCTTCATTGTAACGAAACCGAAGGGAATGTTGACTCCGAAGATTGTGAGTTGAACCCAGCAGTGATTTGCTGCTTTTCTATAGTATTCTTAGTTCAATCATGGAAAGACGAGGAAACATGCTTTCCCCATCCTCCTTTGGTAGTTTTGCGACGTTTGGCAGCTTATCGAACTTTAAAAGCTCTTGAACCTCACCATCACAAGATTCCTATTTAGTGGATCACACATGAAGCATGTTATGTGTCCCCAGTTTCTTCAAAGATGGTAGTTTCCCTAACAGTGTATGGTACACACAGTTTTTAGCAATCTGCAAGTTGAGGGAAGGGCTACCCATCCATTGTGGGAATTTAACTCCCATGTATGCTTCCACTTCCTAGGTCTTAAAGTTGTGTATAAGCTTGAAGCGTCTCTGATTCTTCGTTCCTTTCCCATGATAAGACCAAACTGTTGAGATGCTTGCCCGCCAAACCAGAGTGGACATGGTGATGAGTGATGATAGACTCGAGTAATTAACATCTTTGACAGTGTGTTTTTCATAGGCATTTGATTCCATAAATTCTTTTAACATGAGGAGGAAAAAATTCAACCAGAAATAATAAATTTTTTAATATTTATCATCAGACTAATACATCAAAAACAATGCATAAACAAAATATTAGACTGGTCTCAATTTTCCCATAAAACTAATTTGCCATGGCTTCTAGTCATCTGCTGTGAGCCCTAGTCTGAATAAAGCGTATGTGCCAGAAGTAGTCCTGTATACAAAGTAAATATGCTAGCTTAACAACACTATCATTCAATCTTGGCTATTTAAAATTTTAAATTATTCCCCACATGACAGTGTATTGCCATAAACAATAAACAGACCTACTAATGGGAGTAAAAACAATGAACCTCGATTGAACACGCACAAGGAGCATAGTTTCTGAAATGTTACATAAATATGGAAGATGGCAGGAAAAGAGAAGGCAGATGAAATTTTCAAAATGCAAAATGCTCCACCATTCTGCATTTGAAACAATGACTCGTTAAGAAAGTCGCAAATAGCAAAAGATCAGACTAGACTTAATTTCCAACTGAGCACAGTGAAATTTTCAGACACCAGTAGATAGCAGCAGGGAACGGAACTTCATGCTTGAACTCTAACATTTGTCATCAAGAGACCCATCCTCCAGTCTATTGAGTAAACAGAGTTCAACAAAAATCCGAAAATACAGAAGCAGAGACTTCTCAGTTCCGAAGTGAAACACAAAATACAGCAGAAAAATACTGTAATATATTCGAATTTCAAGAACAAAATCACATGGGTCATAATTTTTTAATCAATATGCATTAGTTTTTATGTTCATAATTTGCTAATTTGTCAAAAGAAATATTAGTTGCCAATTACATGACTCTCACTCAGTGCACAACAGGATTAATTTTACCACATAGATGTGAATAAAATCAAAATTGATCAAATTTTAAAATATATATGGATGCAAGATTACAATTAAGAGCATAATAATTTTTTTATACTCATAATAAAGAAATTTTAGTCCAATCATTTTTTTTTTGGAAAAAAAAAAGCTTTTATTTTGTATTTTCTTGCAACTCGTGTAATTTAGCCCATATCCATATCAATCATAATTAACAGATTATGAGCATAAGAACAAATTTCTATAATTAAAGAAATTGCAAGGACTTAATAAACATCGACTTTCAAGTCTTCCCAGGATCCAAGCAATGCGACAAATTGTTTATATGGAAATTAGAGCACATACCTTAACCTGCGAACGAAACAAGATGAACAACATTGACAATGACCAAAATATGCATCTTAATAATCACTTATATCACGACGTGGAACATGAGCAATTTTGTGCCAATCCTCCCCTGTTCCCTCCTTGC